GTGATACACTCTGAGGAACATATAGTAAAAGTATAAGTGGGATGGCATACAATACACAAAAATCTTTTTTCAATAATTTTAAATCTGCAGCTTTCATTAAAATAATCCCTGGTGATCCTACCATTAAGGTCCTTTTTCAAGCTCACCCTGTTATAGGGTGACAATGCTTGGTCCCTGTCCCCCAGCTGTGTTCCTGCATTGGCACCGTGCTATGCAAGCTTCCAATGGAGATACATGACAGCTGTTTCAACCCAAGTTGGGATGGTCCACTGATGTCATCATCAGGAAACCCTCCAAGAGAAATGCCATGCAGCCGTCTCTGGAGTGCATGGAGACAGAAAATGGCTCCAAAAAGCCTGCAGGAGACTGAAAGCACCGAGATGTAATAAAGGTTTAAAAAAGAAGACATACATTTTATTTTTTAAATGAAAAATGCTTGTGAAATACTACACAGAGCAAACTAAATCTCTTCCAGGTAGAGTCTACATCTACTTTAAAAAAATACATAAAAAAAAACTTCATATTAAATTAGTTGTTACAAAGTCAAATTATGTCATCACTAAACATGCCCCCCCTCCCCTTGGTGGGTATAATCTTCATGTAAAAAAAAATTTGGGGGGGAGAGGGGCAGTTTTCTAAAAAGACCCACTGGGTACCTAATACTAGACACCAAGAAAGGGGCCAGTGCATTCTGGCAGCTGTAGTCCTGTTTGTGCATTTGTATCAGAGCTGCACAGTTGGAAATTCTATCTTCTTCCAACTGCATGATCAATGATGTGCAACTATGAGTCCCAGAATGTCATTAAAGTGGAACTTTGTACAAAATGAAAAATTGCATATAAGGTGCAATTTCTCCCTAGTATTAACATAGCAGTCACTAGAGAGAGAAGTCTAATATTAAGCTATAATATACGCCAGCGATTGTGGATGTGAATCTGGCTAATTGAGCATAAAGCAATTATTTTCATGGCTCAGCCCACTGTCCTGTTATGAGGAAAAATCCTTTCTTTTTTAGGATATGTGATGCGATGAGACGTGTGAATACCTTCTTTTCTAAGAAGGCTTTACTGTGTCCCCACTGTAATAGTTTTATTGCCTGTTGCTCCTGCTAGTAGACCCAATAGATTTCCACTGCTTAAACAAAAAAAACTCAAGGTGTATTCCCAGGGTGACAACACTGTTGTGCAATTTCACTGTAAAACAAACAGCATTGCCACCCTGTTACAGGTAGTGAAAAAGATAACAGATTTTCCACCAGGATCTACATGTTATAAAACTCTGTTTTCTCCCCTCAAACAAAAGACAAAACCTGCTGTGTTAATACTTCTGACAGACTGCATCATATATGTATTTTTAAAATTTTGCAAAGTTCCACTTTGGATGCTCATAGCACTGGACAGATACAATTCTCCCAAACCTTGTAGGTTGGACACTCCTGTATAGGAGTGCACACAACTGCAATTAATTCTGAGAGAGCCGTTAAAATCAGTCCACCCAAACCAAGGGAGATGCAGTACAGACTTAAGCCAGCCATAGACAGTTTGAATCTCGGCTTGTACAGCAGGGACCAGCCGAGATTCAAACCATGTATGGACAGGCTGAATGTACCCAAGTTGATCGATCAATCAACTTGGGTAAAACCAGCCTGTCGGATTTACATGCGATTATTGCTAGCCTCTATTATAGCAACTAGCAGTAATCACTTTGGTCTGCCAGTGGGGATGGCTCACCCCCGCCCAACCCCCGTCGGGAGAACACAATGGCTTTATGGGAAGGATTCCCCCATCAAGACTGCTGACCCAGGGAATATCGGTTTGCCTCTTGGGGGTTCAGGAAGGAATATTTTTCCCTGCAGGAGCAAATTGAAACAGCTTTGCTGGGATTTTTTTTTTGCTTTCTTCTGGATCAACTGTGTGTGCAGGATTGTGAATACAGGATTGTATACATTTTTTTCCTTTTTATTAGTTGAACTAGATGGACTTGTGTCTTTTTTTTCAACCAGACAAACCATATAATACTGATTCTGTTGATACGGTAATTGGGCAATTTTCTTTCCTGCAACAGAAAGTTGCAGGAAAGAAAATTGTTCCGTCTATGGCTGGCTTTAAACACCCTGCCATTTACTATATGTAAGATTTCCTTACTCGACCCAAACAACTTACAATTATGAGAGAATCTCACTCTCCCTTCTGGATATCTCTTTTTAGTTTACATTTCAAAGAATGCAACAGCTCAAGTGGGACTCTTTGGCAGGGCTTAGCTAAGAACTCTCACCACAGGAGACCCTGAGAGATATAAGAACTTAGGAGACGATTAAGGGGCAATTTACAAAATGCCTATTTGTAAAGCTTCTCTTTAGCAAGTCTTTATAAATAGGCCTCACTAAGTCTCCACTTGTGAATGAAATGTCAGTTTTAGGTGGACAGATCATTTGAAAATTTATGATAAAGCTGAACTCCGGGGTAAACAAATATTGTCTAAATACAGGAGTCATTTGCATTTTACTTGAATCTTGATGTGCTTTGTGTATTTTTTCCAGATCTGTGCAGTAATCAAGTGTGAGACTTTGCTTCTGTGCAGAAGTTTCCTGTAATAAAGACCAGTTACTGCTGCTTTCTCTCCTTGTACAGGGTGACTGGTCTTGCCTTGGCTTGTCTCTGCGGGCAGTCTGTAGTTGGTGGGGCTTGTCTACTGCCTCCCAAAGCTCTGCTCTCTGCTAAAGCTATGTACAGCACTATGATGATGTCACTGACACTCTTAAAAGGTATAATCTGGGTCTGCAATTTGGTGCACACAAAGTGAACATTGGAGAAAGCATCTCATTTAAATATTACCCAAAATACATGTCTGGATTGTTATCGATGATATTCAAAAGGATCAGTGAATTGGAACTGAAATCCTCTGTGAGTCATTGCTGAGTGTTAGGATAACTTACATTTTGGAGTAAACCTCTTTCAGGTTCTATTACTGTGTGCCAATTGAGGAAAATTGGGGCTTTTATTGGGGCTGAAACACACTTTTGCACACATTAATGCAAGACACGGTAACGCAACACGTTACGTGTGTTAGCGTGTTGTAGAGCCATGCATTTTGAATAGCACACTAAGGCAAAGCAGCTCTGACACGTGTTGCAGTGCACCACCACCACCAATAACGTGTGACACAATAAAAGTTGGTGCACATACGTTATGGATTCACACAGTGCTTGTCAATGTGCACATAGCATGCACACCCTGGTGTGCATTGTGAATATGTGCTGCCATGTGCTGCAATGCATTGTTAAAATGAAGTGCTTATTTTCTGTTCTTTTTATTTTTAATGAAACACATTCCTACTTTTTTTTCAGTGCATACCAATGCAGCATGATGGTGTGAAATGAAACTAAAGGACATAAAAGTGCCTTGTTATTGCATAGGGGCTGAATTCGGCAATGCTACTGGTGTGAACGAGCCCTAACAGAAAGTACAGGAAACAAGTGTGAATGGGTCTTATTGCTTAATTCCTGCTTATGGAAATTCCTCTTCACTTTTTTTGTACCAAGATAGGAAGTGGGGAAATCTCTCCAACACAGGAAAACATTAATACTCTTTTAAATACTGAGGAAGAGTAGAATCCCTGGCAGGTTTTTTTTCCTCACATCTGAACAGTTGTCAGAGGGGACAGGAAGTAGGATGGAATCTTTCCAGCAATGAAAACCTGAAAGGGTTCTTTGTGAAACTAAAAGAAAAAGTTTTTTTATCATGAGTTCTTCTTTTACCAGCTGTTATTAAATAGGTCTCTGCATCTAAATAAGTAGAGCTAGAGGTGAGTATAAAATCTCAAGGAAATTGCTGGAGGGTTTATACCTTTGTGGGATTTTCAGTAAAGAAAATCGGAATATCCTGAATACATTCTGGACTGTGTTTGGGTTGCTCGATAGACATTTGTCAAGACAGACACAACCAATGCTCCCACAGCACCAGAGACTTCTGCTGCCTGACTCCTGGAGGTGCTGCTAATTCTGGATCAGAGACAGTAACATGACCTTGAACTAGTGCATCTTTAATGAATTTGGCACCATCTCCCTTTTCCACTGGATGGAACCTTGGGCTGTGATTGGTAATTACCATCTTGACAGGTCCTCTTTAATGAGAGACTCTCTTGTACATAAAGCACCCTCAAAAAAGCAAAGCTGGCGTTATAAAAAAATATAACAAGAAACGGAAGCCCCAAATTGCAGATGCAGCCTTTCGATACCTACCTTTGGTTTAAAAGCAATGAGTTTCAGTATCATCTCCACCGTGAACAGGCCGGTGAACAGCATATTGAGGATGTTCATGGCTTCCTTGAAGGAGCAACTCTGCCCATAGTGCTAGTCAGAAAACACAAAGGTGGTTTTAGTCATTGTCATTGACATGCTCCTACACTCCTCTGAGAGTTACAGCCAGACCTTCTTGAGGCGGAGCTATGGAAGTTTCATAACTACACCTCTCTATACCCTATTCTATATTCTGCTTTTGTCTGGATGATACATTTCACCTAGGGCTAGGGATCAAAGAAATTTGAAGTTTTTGCTTCAATTAAATTTCAGCAAAATTTCACCATGTGGGGAAATGCATTGAAAGAAGGCATAATGAAGATTTTTTTGTTGTTTTTGAGAGTACAATATACTTTAAGGGCTTCACACCATACTTTATGCATTAGTTTGTGCCTAATGCACATGCGCTGGTATTTTTAGGTTGCACTACAGTGCTTTTTGTGCACAAATTACAGTGCGTTTTTAAACTCACTTTTTTCTTTTTTTCTTTCAGCATACTAGGGCCATATTAGTTGCTTTAACCTGTTAGCTTCAAGTTTTTTTTTAAATTATTATGTGGTCTGACTGTTTCAAGAGTCCAATAAACCCCAGGGATATGGAAGAAAGGCCCCACCTGTTTTCAGGGACAATCAAGGATCAGACTTACCTGCATGGCCAGGCAGATGGTGTTGAGGAGGATCAGGACGAACATGAGGTACTCAAAATAGGTAGAGTTGACAACGTACCACACTTTGTATTGGTACTGATTCTTAGGGATGTACCTGCGCAGGGGGCGGGCCTTCAATGCATATTCCACACACTGTCGCTGCAGGGAAGATAGGGTGAATCTATCAGTTGGAATATCATTCAAGACAATCCTGAATCAGAAATTAGTCTGATATTTAAAAGCTAAAAGCCTAAATAGAACTATAGGCAAAACTTTTTTTTAAATTTTGAATAGAGCAAGGGAGACTTATAACCCCTGTTCGATTTTTATATTGCCATCCGCGTCCCATTGCAGAGATTTCCCTTCACTTCCTGTCCCATAGCCAAACAGGAAGTCAGAGGAAATTCCCTTTAAATTAAGGTAATTTCTTGGGGACCCCAAGGTCACCAGAACTATTGTCCCCTTTGAAACATTTCACAGACAGCAATAAAGACTGACCAGCATTCTAATCCCTCTCCACACTATCCAAAAATTAAAAAAAAGTTTTGCCTTTAACTGTACTTTAACTCCAAGTAAATGGAAAAACAGCAAATGCATTTACTTATTTATTTTAGAATTCAAAGGTTTTTATTTATTATAAAGCAAAAAACACAGCATTCACCGTTATTACAGTAATCTCATAGCCATGCTGTATACAAAGAGTTTACATATAAAATGATAAATGTAAAGGTGCTAGAAAGTACTGCATGTACAATACCATTTCTGAACTTTTTAATAAAGTGGAACGCTTATCAGAAAACTCCCTCTGACAGGGGTTCTAAACCATCGCCATTCAATCCAAAACTAATAACTAATATTTTGGCTCGATTACAGCCCCAAAAAAATCAATTTTTTAAACACAGCTAGTATGTGTATCTGATTTTGTTTTTACATTAGCTTTTTGTAATCACATACAGAGCAGACCTCAGCTTGGTAAAGTGAGGATAAGCAGCAGCAGCCAATCAGTGCCTGCGGCACTGCACAGTGCTATCAGTTTAACACTATGAACATGCTTACAGAAGGGGAGAGCACAGAGGTGACTCGTCAGTGTGCTGAATTTTTTTTGCCCAATCAGCAGGCTGGGGGTGTGTCCTGGACCAATCTATACTGCTCAACTTCAGCATTGGCCAGGCACATGGCTGTGCTTTCTGGCCTGATCACAAGACTGGCTGAGTACAATAACAAATAATTTGGCAGGTAGCCTGTTCATGTACTGTATATGTACTTCAAATGTGTGTTTACATACCGGAAGTTCAGTTGAAGATCTAAAGCCAAAAAAGTTTTTTTGTTGCTACGGGCTCTTGCACACAGGTGGCTGGGCCTGTTCAAGGTAACTGCATATTTCCTCTGCTCAGGCAGCCCAGGTGTAGTGTACAGGCTCCCGTTGGCAAGAATATCTGTGCACTGCTGTTTTCATGTATATGGTGCTGCTAACATAAACACGAGTACAGCGCATGGGCTTATAAAATAAAATAGAAAACTTTCAATTTGTTGCATACCCTTGTATGCTGTATACTACACCTTGGCTGTCCAGACGGAGGAAATACACAGTCAATTGTTTTGAACAAGGCAGCTGCCTGTGTACAAAAGCTCTATCTGTGTCCCACTAGGAGTATTTTAATTCACTCCCTGTTCTGTATAGATAACAGGAAGTGAGCGGAAATCTCTCCAAAGTCAGGGGAAACACCCTCTTAGCTGTCTTTGGAGCAAAGTATACCCCTGAAAGATTTCCTCTCTCTTACTTTTCTGGTGACTATTCAAAATTTACACAGATATCAATAAAAATCTGACGGGTTCTCACTCTTCCATGCTCTATCCAATTCTAAAAATAAAAGTTTTGACTTTAGAAAAATGTTTTGCCTTTTGGCTTCACTAAGGCTGACAGATGCAGCTGGGGCAGACTGCCTTGGCCTGTATTTACTTATCTGAGAAGCCAATGCAGGCACTCAAACTGTAAGTATATTTTCAAATTAAATCTGATATGCGGGCAGTACCAGAACAACGTCCTTTAGAACTCAAGGCCAAAAGGCCAAAGTGTGCTCCTTCTCCCCAATCATGAGCTCAGCTGTTTACTACCTCAGCAGCATAGGCTGCAGGTCTTGCACTTTTTGTACTCTACTCCTGCTAAAGCACCAAAGCTAGCTGTCTCTTCTGTCTACCCCTGAGCCCCGTGCTGTATTCAGGCTACTGAAGGTCATTAAAATCAACTTCACCTGCATATTCTATCAAGGTCAGAGGGGAGAAGAAATATGGAGCAGGCTTCACCTGTACAGTGCACTAGCCTCTGTAAAATCTCCAGGTTAATGAGTTCACAATTGTTTCTCTTTGGGTCCACCTCTGGGAGCCCATCCCCTTACCTGGTTCTTGTCAAGCTCACAGTTCTTATACTCCTGCTCTCCTTGTTCCTGGAAGGTGACAATGACGAAACCAACGAAGATGTTCATCATGAAGAATGCAATAATAATGATATAGATGATAAAGAAGATTGAAATCTCCACACGGTGGTTGTAGATGGGGCCGACATCCTCTGTGTGAGAGTCAATGGCTCTGTACAGCAGCCTGGAGTGGGAGAAGACAAGAGACAGTTGCTGTCACAGCTCTTCCTTCTGCTTAGTATTAACATAAACACTCCCGCTGTGCCTTTTGAGGACAGGTGTTTTTGAAGGCCAAATCAGGAGCAAAGCCTAATGTGACAACACTTCCATAGATGCAGTACAGCGTGTGAGTGTTGTCACCTTAGAATAGGAAGCATGTTACTGGCAGGATCAACAGGTAAACATAATGGTGAAAAAATCCTGACGAAAAAGAAAACAAATACACATCTAAGGACCATTAAGCTGCAATATATGACATTTTTGATGTTGGGTTTAGATGTACTTTGCATTTCTAATATAATTTTAGATCTACTAGCCTTTAAAAAATTACTTATAGGAGAAAAAAAAAACAACGTCATTTACGATGAACGATTTAGCAGACTCTGACGTAGTCTCATCTTAAATTGAAACAGATGTTTATTGGACGCATCAACCTAATTGGTTATCTGCGTCTGTGCCAAAAATCTTGAGACGATGCAAAACCCATCTGCCTTTTTTTTTTTTTCCTTCCACTGGAATGGAATTTGGCAGGGCCCAAAAAAAGCTGCAATGAATTCCAATTAAACAATTGTATTATGTGGAAAGTCATTAGACCCTGTTTCGTGATATGTAATAACTATAATAAATTCATTAAATATAATTAAAAAAGACCTTTTTTAAAATGATAATCGACTATTTATATTAATTCTTGTCAAAAAAGCAGTTCCCACACACGAGCTAATAATATGTCAGTGCACGTCAATTAACTTGTCATATTATGTGTGACATACATAATTCTATAGATCCTTAAAATACTTTGGATTATTGCAGGAAGAATATTAACAAGAATATTATATCTATATACAGTATAACCTCTATCAGGCTTTTTTACTTCCGGTGTTGCCATTAGGTAGGTTTCCCCTTACTTCCTGTGCCACTGACACCCTGTTCTACCTCCTATATACAACGTGCTCCCTCAAGTGTCTGCATGTACAGTAATGGCCAAAAATATTGGCACCCCTGCATTTCTGTCAGATAATGCCCAGAAAACTGTTGCAATTACAAATGTTTAGGCATTCTCATGTTTATTTCTTTTGTTTGTATTGGTATGACACAAAAAAGTGGAGAAACAAAAATCCAAATCTGACACATTCCATGCAAAACTCCAAAAACGGACTGGACAAAATTATTGGCAAGCTCAATTTAACATTTGGTAGCACACCCTTTGGAAAAAAAATAACTTAAATCAATCGCTTCCTGTAACCATCAATGAGTTTCTTACTCATTCCTCTCTACTTGAATTTTGGACCACTCTTCTTTCGTCAACTGCTCCAGGTCTCTTAGATTGGAAGGGTTCCTTTACTCAACTGCTCTTTTGAGATCTTTCCACAGGTGCTCTATGGGATGATATCTAGACTCATTGCTTGCCAGTTCAGTACTCTCTAGCGCTTTGTCTTGAACCATTTCTGGGTACTTTTTTAAGTGTGCTTTGGTTCACTGTCCTGCCCTTGACCCATGACCTTTGACAGAGACCCAACTTTCTGACATCGGGCCCTATATTACACCCCAGAATTATTTAGTAGTTTTCAGATATCATAATGTCATGCACACGGTCAAGACATCCAGTGCCTGAAACAGCAAAGCAACCCCAAAACATCAGTGAACCTCCACCATGTTTGACTGTAGGGACTGTATTCTTTTCTTTAGGGCCTCATTGCTTTTTCTGAAAACAGTAGAATGATGGGCTTTACCAAAAAGCTGTAATTTTGTTTCATCTGTCCACAGCACATTCTCCCAAAAGGATTTTGGCTTCCTCAGGTAAGTTTTAGCAAACTCCAATCTGGCTTTTTTATGTTTCTGTGTCAGCAGTGGGGTTCTCCTGGGTCTCCTACCATAGCGTCGTTTTTCAGGTTGCAGTGTATAGTGCGAGCTGACACAGTTGTGCCCTGTGCCTGAAGGTCGCTTGAATTTGTCTGTAAGTTGATCGGGGTTCTTCATCCACCATTCGAACAATCCTTCATTGCAAAATTTTATTAAGTTTTTCTCTTTGTCCACGTCCAGGGAGATTTGCTACAGTGCCATGGGCTGTAAACTTCCTGACAATGTTGTGCACAGTGGACACAGGAATATTAAGATCTGCGAAATGATACAGTTGAGTTTAATTACAAAATTACAGGAGCATCACAAACTTGGAATGCAATTATTTCTTACAGTTTTGTGACGGTGCCAATATTTTGTCCAGTCCATTTTTGGGGTTTTGCGTGGAATGTGTCGCATTTGGCTTTTAGTTTATCCACTTTTTTCTGTCATACCAATGCAAACAAAAGAAATAAACATGAGAATGCCTAAACATTTGTAATTGCAACAATTTTCTGGGCGAAGGTGCATTATCTGACAGAAATGCAGGGGTGACAATATTTTTGGCCAGGACTGTATATCATCTTTGGTAAATGATTTCTGAGATAAAATTCATTATAGGATAGGTCACTTGGGGGTTTATTTACTAAAGCTGGAGAGTGCAAAATCAGGCTCACTTCTGCATAGAAACCAATCAGCTTCCATGTTTTTTTTGCCAAAGCTTAATTGACCAAGCTGAGGTTAGAAGCTGATTGGTTTCTATGATGAAACGCCTGTCACCCCGATTGGGTGATTCCATCAGATAACTGCTTCCTTGCTGCTTATTATAGCTGGGCAACGTAACCAAGAACTAGACAGCACTAGCTCAGGTGCAACTGGAACTAATTTATTGAACAAGAACACAGCGTTTTATATACTTCAGAAATACGGGAGAATCTTTCCATAATAGCCTTACTCTACTTGGAGAGATTTCACCTAGAGCTTCTGACGGATCGCGTCTCTCAATTCCAGCATGTCTTGGGCAGTAGGGAGGAAGCATATCCCACCACTTGCCACCAAATGTGATGGAACGCATGTCACCCTGATTGGGTGACTCCGTCAGGTAACTGCTTCCTCACTGCTGGGGCACAGGACTAAGGTATTATAGCTGGGAATCGCACCCAAGAACTAGACGCACTAGCTCAGATACAACTTGAACTACTATATATATAAAAACTATGTAACAGAAACACAGGTTTTTATATACTTCAGAAATAGGGGAAGTCCCCACATGAACAATAAAACAAATATTATACATTAGGATAAACATCATACACTTATAAGCTAAAAAGGTGCACACATTATCCTAAACAATGCAAATGCTAAACAGTACAGCCAACAGCAACAATGCTTTGATTAATCAGGGAGCCCATCCCAGACAGATCGGCATCAAGCCCAACCCTGAATACACAAAGTTCATAACATATGCTGTCTATCAGGTGTTTGCTTTCATTTGCATAAGTATAATCACTTGTGTCCATCATAAGACAAAACTCATACAATAGTCAAACAGTTTGAAAAAAGTGGAATTAATTTATCTTCATAGATTTCTTGAGTGAGATTGTTGATAAATATTTCTGCCCCAAGTGGAGGAGCCTCTTCAACCCAGTCTGCAGGAGGGCCACCATATTTCCTCTGTCCATTAACTTGTACAAGTTTAATATTACACCTTTCCAACCACCCCAGAGGGAAATGTAATTGTCTTTATGCAGAGAATTAATACAAGCCTAGCTCTCAGCGTTCATCAGGTTACTATCTATCATTGGAGACTGATCTGCTCTCTCCATGTGATCATTTGCTGAACTGAGCTATTTTCCATGCTCTGACCGGGAGAAGCAGACAAAATCACCAATCTCCTCCATGGGATATAATCAGTGGGTAGCAGATTAGTCCCTAGTCCCCTCCAAATGCTCCTGTCCTGGTTGGGTCTGTCACATTTCTACTCCCTCAAAAGTCGACTAACCAAGTCCCAGACCTTCACCTGGTTTGGACATGTGTTAGTTGGGTAGCGTAAACCCACATTGTTGGTTCACATAATCTCCATTTTTAGATGCATGGAAGAGTTGTCGTTAGTAGGTGTGGAGCAGAGATTGTGGACCCTCTGGCTGGCTGTCAGAGCTTCAGCAGGGGTATTCTGGGGTTTTGTCTGCTGCTGGGGAGAGGGGCCGACTGCCCCAACTCCCTGAAGCTGTGAAGACGTGGTAGGTGCAGGACAGAGGCCAGCGGGGTTCTGCTGGGGACCCCACCTCCTCCACTCTGGCTGACTGTTGGGGAGGAAAGACAACCACCTCCTCTCCCAGACTGGACTTGCTGCTGGGGAGGGAGGACTACCACTTCCTCTCCCAGACTGTGGATCTGCCGCTGGGAAGGTGAGCCGGTTGCTCCATCTCCTGGACTCTCGGACTCCCGCTGTGGAGCGAGGATGACTTCCGGCACTGCCAAGTCACTACACTTCTGCTGGGGAGGGAGGACGACCACCTCCTCTCCCAGAATGGGGATCTGTCACTGGGGAGGGAGGATGATCACCTCTCCTTCCTGCTCCCCCAGAACTGCTGCAGGTGTGGGGCAGAGGTCTTGGACCATCTGTCCTGTTGCCAGAACTTCTGCTGGGACTTTGTATGGGTAAAGACTGGAGGTACTCTGCCCCACTGCCAATGCTTCAGCTGGGGTTAGGAGTTCCACTGTATCGGCTGCTGCTGGGAAGAAGGGCTGCCTTCCCTGGCTCCCTGGAGCTCCTGAAGCGCTGTTGGTGATGGACCAAGGCCAGTGGCACTCTGCCCTGTTGCCAACTCTTCCGCTGGGATACAAAATGAAAATTCAGTGGCCTTGCACAAACCCTCCAGGGTCACTGATTGTTGTAGGCAGAGGTCAGCACTGCTCTGCTTTGATGCCAGCTCTTCTGCTGAAAGCTCATTGGGGTGTTCCTCCTCAGCAGAAACATACATTAAATCCCCAGTCTCTGGAATTGCTGAAAATCCAGAACACGGGCTGGCAGCACATGGGCCCAGTGCCAGCACTTCGGTGGGTAACTCGTAATCCATAACATCCATGGGTGCTGGGGCATACTGTTGAGCTTCATTGAACAGTCTTTTATATGCTTGTTCCAGCTCCGATTCTTGTGTAACTATAAAGTCCACTGCACTACCGAAATGTGGTCCTCCTGAAATGTCTCAAATATCAATCCTGGGCCGCCGTAGTCATAGCTGTCTATGGGATTGCAGTTCTTCTGCCATGGACACACTTGGGTAGCATACCATTGCAGCGCCTGATAACCATCATCCAGCACCATTTCTGTCTGGACCAGCCTATACAGCTCCATCATCCATTCCTCCCCATGATGCTCTCCTAGGAATGGCATACACAAGTCCAACTGCAGCCAGTACATATCCAGAGATGTAGGGAAAATCTTTCCATAATAGTCTTACTCCACTTGGAGAGCTTTCATCCAGAGCTTCCGACGGATCACGTCTCTTCAATTTCAGTATGTCCTGGGCAGTAGGGAGGAAGCATATCCCACCACTTGCCACTAAATGTGATGGAACGCCTGTCACCTTGATTGGGGTGACTCCGTCAGATAACTGCTTCCTCACTGCTGGGACACAGGACTAAGGTATTATAGCTGGGAATCCCACCCAAGAACTAGATGGCACTAGCTCAGATACAACTGGAACTACTTTATATATAACAATCATATAACAGGAACACAGGTTTTATATACTTCAAAAATAGGGGCAGTTCCCACACTAACAATAAAACAAATATTATACATAAGTATAAAAATCCTACACTGATTAGATAACGAGGTGATCACATTATCCTAAAAACAATGCAAATGGTAAACAGTACAGCCAACAGCTAACACTGATATAATTAACAGTAAGCTAATCAACAGCCAGGCACTCAGTCAATGCTTTGAATAATCAGGGAGCCCACCCCAGACAGGTCGGCAACAAGCCCAACCCTGAACACACAAAGTCCATTACACATGCTGTTTATCAGGTGTCTGCTTTCACTTGTATAATCTGTCCATCATAAGACAAAACTTATACAATAGTCCAACAATTTCAAAAAGTAGAAATTTATCTTCACAGATTTCTTGAGGGAGGTTGTTGATAAATATTTCTGTTCCAAGTGGAGGAGCCTCTTCAACCCAGTCCACAAGAGGGCCACCATAATTCCTCTGTCCACTACCCTGTACAAGATTAATATTACACCTTTTGAACCACTCCAGAAGGGAAATATTATTGTCTTTATGCAGATAATTAATCCAAGCCTCTCTTTCAGCGTTCATCAGGTTATTATCCATCATTAGAGACCGATCTGCTCTCTCTATGTGAGCAGAGGCTGAACTGAGATCTTTTCCGGGACCAGAAGAAGCAGACAAAATCACCCGTCTCCTCCATGGGCCACAATCAGTGGGTAGTAGGCTAGCCCCTAGTCCCCTCCAAAAGCCCCTGTCCTGGTTGGGTCTGTCACAGTTTCTGTGCAGGGGTGAGCCTGATTTTTCACTCTCCAACTTTAGTAAATAAATCCCTTAGTGACTATATTAAGTGCAATGACCCATTAAGAGACTGAGATGGTCACAAGTGTTTAGTAATTTAGGCAGGCCATACACAAAGTTGTTTTCTTTCCTGCAACCACGAGAAAATCGCTTGATTCCCCATCAACACCGACTGTAAATCCCTCCCATGCAGCTATTGTGTTCTCCTGTCAGGGAAGGGGGGTGGGGGTAGCTGTTCCTGGAGGGAGAACACAGTGATTATTGCTAGCGGCTATAGGAGCTGGCAAAAAATCGCATGGAAAATCCGACATGCTGGCTGTACCCAAGTCATACAACAATTGAATTGGGTACAATCAGCCTGTCCATAGATGGCTCGAATTTCATCCAGTTCAGCATGGATCGGCCGAGGTTTGAACCATCTATGGCCGGCTTAAGCTACGCGACTATAGTAGAGCTTGAATAGGTAATGTACAATTATGGTTTCCCACAAGTACATATATAAGTACAAATTATACACAGCAACATGGGATGGGGAATAGTTAGAAACAATGAGTTTCAATTGTGGTCTATGTTCTAATTGAGGAAATCTCTCCACACTTCCCATGCCAGTAACCACACAGTAAGGAAGGGGAATGTACCTGACAGGAACACAAGCAGCAATCAGAATATGGCAGAGGATCTAACCCATGCCCACTGTTCTAAAATAAATTGCTATTATTGTTGTTTGTGTCATTGCTAGAGAAGATCAGATCACTTCCTCTCTTGTTGACACCCTGCCACATCTTGACATGCAGGGTATCACCGAAGCAGGAAGTAAAGTGAAACCTCTCTATCTGGGACAAAAAAGGCAATTAAAATCTGACAGGGGCTATAAATCTTCAAAAACAAAAAATTAAAAAAAAAGGAATGAGCTGTAGGGGGGCTTTAAAATGCAAGCTGACACAGAGCAGAAGACCTGTGAGAGAAGTCTTAAGTGAAAGCACACCAGTTCCTATTCAGCTTCACTGCAGAACTGAGTCAGAAAAAGGTACAGTAGTTTCCTCTTGAAACTGCACTTCACTATGCTACACACATGGACCAAACTTTGTGACTGATTCCCTTTAAGTTGTTCCTGAAAGCTCCACTTCTAAACCCATGCAGCTCCCCTCATCTCAAGGACTCACTCCGGCCATCCTTCAAAGGTGGAGACGGTGAAAAGTGCCATCATTGCTGCCAGAACGTTATCAAAGTCAAACTTGCTGTTTTCCCAGCTCCGTTCCTGAATCATCGGCTGTGACACATCACCATCTTTGTAGGTGATGAACTTCCCCCTGCAGGACACAATATAAAAGCATATCAAATGTATGCAGCAACAACAGATCTATCTTTATAGACCAAGGTCAAAAAAATATTTTCTAATTCTTTCTTATGGAAAGGAAAAGGGGAGCGTGATGTCTGCTCTCAAGTACGACTTCTTTTTAACTTTTAAACATGACCAGCAGGTTCACTTTAAGGTTGCCTTGTATGTGTTCCCTCAGAACAGTGTCACTTCAGGGCTGCTGTTAACAATTACGGTAAATCGACCTTTCTGTTTACTCATTGGGATCAAATGTTGTGAATCTGTAATAACATAAAACCCATTGTTACACAATGCACGCACTTGCAATCAGCTTCTGTAATCTTCGAGCTGTCTGTACAGCTGTACAACTTGCTGAGAAATAAAAAAAAAGAAAAAAATATCTAACTACACAAAGCACAATCCAACACGTGTGTGTATATATATATATATGGTGTGTGTTTGTGTGGTATGAGTGTGCCTGTGTGTGCAAAACTAGTGTAGTGTGTGCATGTGCTTGTATGTGTGTGCTTGTGTTATGTGTAGTGTGTTTATGTGCTTGTGGGTATGTGTATAGTGTGTGTGTATATGTAGATTGTTTACACACTTGAGTATATGTGTGTGCCTGCGTATATGTGTATGCAATATGTGAAGGTGTGCATTTGTTTGTACTCTTATGTGTAGTGTGTGTGATTCTGCTTGTGTGTATTTGTGACTGCTTGTGTATGTTTTCTGACCTTACCTTGAACAGCTGTACTCCAATGCAGGCAAACATAAACTGGAGTAGAGTGGTGACAATGACAATGTTTCCAATGGTGCGAATGGCGACGAAGACACACTGGACCACATGCTGGGTACAGACATAAAAAGAAAGTATTAAATGTTTATCCACGAAAGAGACACTTTATACTGTATATCCCAGAATATCACAATTTACCAACAAAGCTAAATGAAAGATCTTTAACAGTCTCCAGTAGACCTTTGCATTACACTTTTATGATTAAAATTTGTGAAACTAATTAATCAAATTGTTCCTGTGTATGATCACCAGTGTATAACAGAATACAATGCAATGGCTGACTTTACTTGCTGAAAGTGCATATTTGTGCCATGAAAACTCTGGAGCAGCAGATAGCCCCTTAGAGGACAAGACTTTCTAAAGAGCTTTGAGAAACTACCTTTATAGGCACTATAAAAAATAAGGTTTATTTTTTTAAAAAAAAATTCAACCTTGACAATGGTCATTTCCTAGAAGGTGTTCCTCTGGGAGTGTCTGTAGACACCTATACAGTAACAGAGATGAGCTCCAGTCAAAAGCAATCTGTAGCTCGATTCAATGAAAAGCCCTGTTTTTGATTTGTTTGAGTGTTATCTCAAAGTATTCAATTCTGTATGTGTTCATGGTATAATTCCTATAATCCTAAAAAAGTTGGAACCTTCGCTGTGAACTTTTCTTGTGATAGAACAAAGCTCTTCTAAAGTGTATGCAAATTTTTTTTTTCTATTTTTGGATAGAGTAGAGAATGGTTACAATCTTTGTGACTTTTGGTTTGCTCTGTTTTCCATTCTGGAAACACAACAGTAAGGGAGGAAATCTCTCATAGTTACAAGGGTCCCTACTTAAAGCAAAATGTTACATTGGATAGGAAAGGGAGGGGTTAAACCCTCATCAGTTTATCTTTGTTTTGTGTGTATGTGAAGTACGAGTTCTTGTGTGCATGCGTGTTTATGTAGTGTGTGTGTTTGTGTGTGTGTGTGTGTTTGTATGTGTAGGGGTGTGTGATTGTGTGTATGTGCATGCTTGTGTGTATGTGTAGTGTCTATGTTTATGAGTAGGGTGTGCTTCACCGTCATTTTAATGGGCCAATCATCTGCGCTGGGGTTATTTCTCACCCTGCAGCCGCATTTATACAAGTGGTATATAAAAATGCAGCAACAGGATGGGGGATGCCTTGGACACAGTCAACTGTCTCATTAAAAATGACCGCTTCCTAGTAGGTTTGGCCAAGGGTTCAGAAGAGCATCAAAAACGTGCCTAAGCTCATCTCTACGGTAGGCACAAGAGCACTAACAATTTTGACAGAGGTTCTAATCCATACAAAATAAAAAATTATTGGTTTTAGATACACTAATAAAACTATGATCTTTTACTATTGTTTGTTTGTCCATCTGCTGAAAAAACCCACGGAGGTCCCCATCACTTACCTTGAGTCCTTTGGCTCTGTTAATGGCTCTGAGTGGTCGCAAAACTCTGAGGACCCTCAAAATCTTCACCACGTTGATGGCGCTAGACCTGGGCAGGAGAAGGAAGAGTGAGCGACTGAGCAGAGCATTAGAGCAGCTGTTACCTCCAGGTGGATACTCACTGTATGCCAAAGGAGATGAGCGAAACGCTGACCACCAGCAGGTCCAAGATGTTGAAGTAATTCCTGCAGAAGGAGCCCTTGTGCAAGAATGCACCGTAAGCTGTCATCTGAAACAGGAGGCACTGGTGAGACACAGTATGCCATTGTGATGTCACATCACAAGAGACACAGCATGGAGGGAACATGCAGAAGAGAACATACAAATATGCCTTCCTGATAAGGTCTCCTACATGGTTTAGGGATACTAGAATACTCAGTCTCTTCAAGTGCACTTTCTAGTGTCTGCATGTTGTTAAATGACTGAACTAAACCAATTACAGGATAGGTCACCTAGCCATTGAATTCAATGTAAGAAACCAGCATGGGTCTAAGCTGGTGTGCACTGAGGTGATAGGAGTAATAAAGCACAGCCACTGTGCCGTATTACTAAGTTGGAAGCAGAGCATATGTATTGAGCATATATGGCTTCCTCTATGTACATAACTATACTTTTAGACTTTTTAAATTTGATGAAATAGAGAAGAATTAGAACTTCTGTAAAGATTAATATTGCCATCCATGTTTCTGTTTTTGACAGTTATCTTTCATGTCATGCCTTGAATGTAACTGTTTTGGGAAACCGTTAAATCAATAGTTTTAGTTCTGCTTTGAAATAAAGTGCCATTATTGCTGTCTGTGTCACTGTTAAAGAGTTTCTGCTCACTTACTGTCCTGGTGACACCCTGAATACTAAGACATAGGATGTAACTAAGACAGGAACTCTGCAGACAGCAATAAATACCCGACAAAGGATCTAACCCTCCTCTGCTCTAGCATTGGTAAGATTATCTTCGCTATAATATGCAGATCACATCACAAATATGTCAAATAAATAAAAAGTCAGTAGGCACCATGACTGATCATGGTGAGTTGATTTACTCCATGGCTATTTCTTTGCTCTCTCATGCCACAGCTACCACAAAGCCAGTTTAGAGAGTGTCGCATCTGATAATTCAGGGTCTAATACCCTGGTTCCCAACCTATGGCAAGGGGTGGCATGTGGCCCTTTGACACTTATTGTGCTGCCCATGGGTGTTTTTTTGGTATTTACTCAAACCGTCTCTTTTTGCTTTGTTTGCAGTCTCTGTCTGCTTTCTATAGCATTAAATTCCTTGAATATTATGCGCACCTTTTTAGTTATATCAGGGACTGCACTTGAAGTCATCTATACCAAGTATGTTGAGTAAGCTGACCACCACTGGTCTAATATATGAACATCTCTTTTTTGGGGGGATACCTGAGCACAGCCTACATTGTAGCATTCTCTCTAATGCCCTTGCCAGCTTCCCAGTTGAACCCTAAGAGCTACAGTTCAGCACTATGAAAGTGCATTTGGCTGTTTTGCTGAGTAAAGCTCGATGATCCCAGGGCTAGGAAGGCTTCGTACAGTGCATTTAAAGCCACAAACAAAATATAATATATTGCAGCTTACTAATCCTTAGACGTGATGGCTGCATTAATTTTTTATTTTTTCCAGGCTTTTTTTCCCCTTTATTTTCACCTGGTGGTCCTTCCAGTAACAAGCTTGTCTTAGGGTAACACGCTCGCTCACAGTACTGTATCAATGTGGGAGCAGCAGTGTCCCTAGGACAGGACTTTAGAACACCCCCCCTGCCCCCGCATCTTCATAACATAGTGGGGAGGTGTTCTCTGCAGTCCACAGAGAAAGTTGGAAACAATGAAACTGAGAAGAATGCAGCAGAGGAAGAAAACACAAGAAGGTATCAGCTCACAAAAATTTCTGGAAGGATCAAGAGGTTTTTTGCACTCGAACACATATAACAAAATTCATGAATCGGCATATTTAACAGACCAAAAGGATGCAAATGTGAGAGCTTCATTATATACCCTCCCTCCCCCAAACAACCTAAAAAGTAAATTTGGGGATTCAACTAACAGCAATCTCTACTTTCCTCTTTCTTTTTTTTTTTGCTATTTTTTTAAATTCATGCAGCTTTTTTAATAGTGTTTTAATACTATTTGCCAATTTAGCACATTATATTTGTGACTATGATGCTTTAAAGAAAATCTGTGCTGAGAGTAATAAGAAGGCTACTGACTTCCCCTTCTGAGAATGCTAGTTGCCTGGCTGTCATATTAATTCTCTGGTTTCAGTACTTTTGGAGTCTTAACTCTGAACAGGAATGCAGGTGTTGTGGCTTCTATAGCTGCAAGCTTGCTCTCCAGAACAATTTCTCAGCCACAGCCAGGCAATTAGCATTCCAGAAGGTGACTGGTGACGGCGGCTGCCATAATTTTTCTCAGTGCAGGTCTCCAGTGAACTGGCTGATGTAATTTTTACCTTCAGGATGATTTCTAAAGTGAAAATGCTAGTAAACACATAGTCGGCATTCCCTAGGATCTGAAAGAAAGAGCAGAAGGTGGTTAGTGGATATGCAGACAAGTAAAGGAGCGAGATGTGTGTTAGCGTCGGAGAGAACAGATGACAAGGATGGAGAGGCAGTCCCCAGCTGGGTTACCTTCAGGGCTATCTCTATGGTGAAAATTGTGGTAAAAACTATGTCAAAATAATAGGGCACCTGCAAAAACACAAAAAGGGTGAGTTGGAGGAACTTAAACACTCACTGCATTAAAGAGAAACTCCAGGCAAAATGTTAGACCCTGTAAAATCTTAATTTTTTTTTGCACTTCTGTTCACCTACTACACTCAAGAGTCTGGGTTACCCATGTATTCAATCCTGTGAGACTGCACTCAACTCTCTATGGTGTCTGGGTCCAGCCTTCAGGGGAATATTCATTAGTGTATGTAAGCTCTAAATCCATCATTCAGTATGTTTGGCATCACACCTCACTGGATACAGTTTATTCAAGGGTCACCACACGTTACAATCTGACCATAAAATGTTTGAACAATCAACTTTATATTTACTAAACCTATGTAATATGAGAACCTACATAATCTATCCAATCACTTGGTATCCAATCAGACAGGTCCTTTAACTAAATAGCAGCTTAAATATCTAAATAAGATTGTACAAACTGCTTGTAACAAGTGTTGTGAGCTTAACATGTATCTGTAGTAAAACCTTTTTTGATAGAGTAGGGAAGAGTTACCCCCCTTTAATTTCTGTCCCAGGATATAACAGGAAATTAGAGGAAATCTTCCAAAATGAAGCTTCACAATGGGGACACACAGAAATAAAAACTTGACAGAAGGTCTAAACCTTCTACACTATATCCAAAGCTAAAAAAATGGTTTGCCTAGAGATATACTTCAAGAAAATCATTTTATGTGAATCTGCTGCAAAGTTTTTTCCTTGGGGATCCTGTTAGCAACAGCACTTCCTATTGCAGGGTGACAACCTTAAGCCTGCCTTGTGTGCCCCTTCCGTTGGCTATTTGGCTACCTATTTGATAGACAAATTATCTCCAGTGAACAAAACTGTTAAAAAAAAATTCCCAAGACATGATTTTCTTAAGGAAACTTCATGCTGTGACATGTCAGACATGCTAAACTAGATTTGAAGGTTAGATGCATTTTAAAGTTTAATTGAGAATATAAAATTGGCTGAATGATACATTTAGCCAATGTTACTTTAACCTCAATTTTCTCTGAAAATTAGCAAAGTCCATGTGTTGGCTGTATGTCCATATGGTGCAATTTGGTGAGCACACAAGCAAATACAGAAGGCAGCTGTGTGTTGAAAAATGCACCAAATCTTCTAAATGATAGGAGAAACAAAGACCCCTAACTGTTTAATAAAAGTTCCCAGTGCTTCAAACATGACACTGTCAAAACTACTGTATATCAATCATACTGAGAACGAAGATCTAAATCTGTTCCCCTCCCTCCTTCTTTGTGTGTTCTCTCTCATTTGAAAAACCAGAGCAAGGACTCTTTATGGTATCTAAATCTGGAGTTCAAAGAGGACCAGTCAGTAATGCAGAACACGGCAAAGTTTAGCTGTTTTTTTGATACCCCATCACCAACCACCACCACGCACCTGTGTGACAGGTTAGCGACTACCTGATATATACAATATACAGTTGTGTTCAAAATAATAGCAGTGTGTTGAAAAAAGTGAATAAAGCTCAAAATCCTTCTAATAGCTTTTATTTCCATACACACAAATGCATTGGGAACACTACACATTCTATTCCAAATCAAAACATGAAGAAAAATATATCAAATTTGTGTTGTTCCTCTAAAAAAATTGAAGAAAAGTGAATATTAGACTGTTCAAAAAAATAGCAGTGTTTGTATTCTTCTTTACAAACTCAGACATTCACTATATAAACTGAAAAATGTTTGAAGATTTTGCTTTCCTTTGAATCACTTAATTAATATTTAGTTGTATAAGCACTGTTTCTGAGAACTGCTGTACATCTGTGTTGCATGGAGTCAACCAACTTCTTGCACCTGTGAACAGGTATTCCAGCCCAGGATGATTGGACTACATTCCACAGTTCTTCTCTATTTCTTGGTTTTGCCTCAGAAACTGCATTTTTGATGTCACCCCACAAGTTTTCTATTGGATTGAGATCCGGGGATTGGGCTGGCCACTCCATAACGTCCATCTTGTTGGTCTGGAACCAAGATGTTGCACGTTTACTGGTGTGTTTGGGGTCGTTGTTTTGTTGGAATACCCATTTCAAGGGCATTTCCTCTTCAGCATAAGGCAGCATGACCTCATCAAGTATTCTGATGTATTCAAACTGATCCATGATCCCTGGTATGTGATAAATAGGCCCAACACCGTAGTATGAGAAACATCCCCATATCATGATGCTTGCACAATCATGCTTCACTGTCTTCACAGTGTACTGTGGCTTGAATTCAGTGTTTGGGGGTCATCTGACAAACTGTCTCCGACCACTAGACCCAAAAAGAACAAATGGAGAAACAGAAAAAGGGCACACCGGCCTAGTGCATTATCGTTTAAAATATTTATTGAAGAAACAAAGTAAGTATCATACTCACAATAGACATAAAAACACAGGCATGTCAAACTGAACAAGATGTATGATCCTCTGGCTCTGAGGAAGAGGTTGTGTCCTCGAAACGCGTTAACAGTTAGTCATCTAGGGTTCCATCTTATGGACTCATATGTTGTTTGGAGCATACATCTTGTTCAGTTTGACATGCCTGTGTTTTTATGTCTATTGTGAGTATGATACTTACTTTGTTTCTTCAATAAATATTTTAAACGATAATGCACTAGGTCGGTGCGCCCTTTTTCTGTTTCTCCATTTGCATCCAGTGTATTTGGACCATCCCGATCTGTTGAGGGCAGCAAGCAGTGCATATTCCAGAAATTTCCAGAACATCCCTATTGGGTCTACTGAGTCTTTTCTTAGCGCAGGAGAAAAGTGTTTGTTGTATTGGATTTACCCAAAAAGAACAGTCTTACTTTCATCAGTCCACAAAATGTTGCGCCATTTCTCTTTAGGCCAGTCAATGTGCTCTTTGGCAAATTGTAACCTCTTCAGCACGTCTTTTTTTCAACAGTGGGACTTTGCGGGGGCTTCTTGCAGATAGCTTGGCTTCACATAGGCGTCTTCTAATTGTAACAGTACTCACAGGTAACTTTAGACCTTCTTTGATCTTCCTGTAGCTGATTGTTGGTTGAGTCCTTGCCATTTTGGCTATTCTTCTATCCATTTGATTGGTAGTTTTTTGCTTTCTTCCACGTCTTTCAGGTTTTGGTTGCCATTTTAAAGCATTTAGCTGAGCAGCCTATCATTTTCTGCACTTCTTTATATGTTTTCCCCTCTCCGAACAACTTTGAATCAAGGTACGCTGTTCTTCTGAACAATGTCTGGAACGACCCATTTTTCTCAGAAATTCAGAGAGAAATGCACTGTAACCAGCATGTACAACATTTGCTGCCTTCCTTCCTTAAATAAGGGCAATAATTGCCACCTGTTTTTCAAAGAATGAATGACCTCACTAATAGAACTCCACACTGCTATTATTTTGAACATGCCCCTTTCAATTAGTGATTCAATTACACAGAATCAGCAGCATGCATGCATGACTGTTGGGTCTGTTGGATTTCTATTAGTCTACTACACCTGCTAGTAAGTTATTTGCCATATAGAAATATCATGTCTACCAAAAACAGTGATTGATCAGGTTAGTGATGCCTGACTGCTATTATTTTGAACACAACAGTATATATATATATATATATATATATATATATATATATATATACACACATATACACAGTGTCTTGAAAAAGTATTCATACCCCTTGAAATTTTCTACATTGTCATGTTACAAGCAAAAACAAAAATGTATTTTATTGGGATTTTATGTGATAGACCAACATAACGTGGCACATAATTACGAATTGGAAGGAAATTGATAAATGGTTTTCAAATTTTTTATAAATAAATATCTGAAAAGTGTGGCGTGCATTTGTATTCAGCCTCCTTTACTCTGATACCTCTAACTAAAATCTAGTGGAACCAATTGTTTTCAGAAGTCACCTAATTAGTAAATAGAGTCCACCTGTGCGTAATTTACCGTATTTTTCGGACTATAAGGCGCACATAAAATCCCTATATTTGTACAAAAATCGGCAATGCGCCTTATATTCCGATGCGCCTTATGTATGAACAGTGTATGTTCACACTGTGCTGAACAATCTGTCAAAATGTTTTTATGACTTTTATTATGACTTTGGTAAGCGACGAAGCCACTCCCCTTGCTTATTCGAGCTTATCCTGGCGACGATAAACCAATCAGAGCCAAGCAATCAACAACAAATCAAAGCTTTTTCACTTACCGAAAACTACATTTTTCTGATATGTACTGTGCTTCCAAATTAAGGACCCCAAAATGGCACCTGTTAAGAGACATGCTTACGACGCGGATTTCAAACTCAAGGCCATCAGCCAAGCAGTACAACATGGGAATAGAGCAGCAGCGAAAAAATTCAACATTAATGAATCAATGGTACGGAAGTGGAGGAAAAACAAGAAGATGACCTGCGTCAAGTAAAGAAGACGAAGAAGAGTTTCCGAGGGAACAAGGCAAGATGGCCACAATTAGAGGACAAAATTGAGCAGTGGATTATTGAACAGAGAACAGCAGGTAGAAGCGTCTCTACAGTCTCCATTCGACTTAAGGCAACAGCGATGGCACGAGATATGAAGATCAACGAATTTCAAGGAGGTCCTTCTTGGTGCTTCCGTTTTATGAAAAGGCGTCATCTCTCCATCCGCACAAGAACTACCACTTCGCAGCAACTGCCAAAGGATTATGAAGAAAGGATGGCCATCTTCTGCACTTACTGCAAGGACAAGATCATCGAAAAGAAGATCCAGTCAGACCACATCACAAACATGGACGAGATCCCTCTCACCTTTGACATCCCCGCGAACCGTACTGTA